AAGACCAGACCCAATCAAGATGATGACAAATGGTTCATACATGCACAGTTAGGCCTGTGAGAAACACAGAAAGGCTGCCCCTCATTCCCCTCCCACCCTCTCCTTAAAATGCATTCAGTTTACGTGGCCTCACTTAACCTGCCCAAAGCTACAAGAGTCCAAACTAGGTTCCCCAAGACTTTTGCTTCCTAGGGAAGTATTAACCACACCTGAATTCCCTCCTGGCTCATTTCTAATGCACAAGTGATACCACAGGACCTCTGCCTTGACGGCTTATACTAGAAAGACAGAAGCGAGGTATAGCTCTGAGCACAAATGGAATGAGTGGATCAAGGAGCTCTGACCACAAGACTAGACACACTGAGAAGTGTGATTAAGGATCAGGACTCCAGAGGCAGCTTCAGGTGGAATTCATGGGGTAGTCACAAACAAGAAAAACAAAGGTAGGTCTTAAATGTAGATCATCTCTAAGATCTTCCAAAGCTCTCTTAATTAATGAAGCAACAAGGGAGCCCATGACTCATGAAATACTTGGTGTTTATTTATTACTTGGCATGAGATTAGCCCTTGCATCCCTAAAAAGGATGACAACCTGCTGGGTGTGGTGGTGCACACCTGCAAATCCCAGGCTGAGGCAGGAGGATCGCTGTGAGTTCGAGACCAGCCTGGGCTACATAATGAGTTCCAGGTCAGTCTCAACTACATAGTGAGACCCTGTTTGAGAAAACAAAACAAAACAAAGAAAGACAACCCTGATTTCTTTTGCAGTTATAAACATGAAAATATGAGCCTTCTACTACCTAGCAAGTGCACAGTAACCTATATCCTTCATTTAAAGATAAAATTCTTTATGGTACCTGATCATATGTAACAAAGACTTAGCACAAGATGACCTGTTAATATACAGCCCCTTGAAAGTAGCAATGATAATAAAATACAAACCGTGGAGGGGGATACAACTCTGTCCAGTAGAAAAGGGAGAGTGTAAATATGAGGTTCGGTTGTCCCAGTCATCAGGCAAGGAAAAGGACGTTGTGCCAGGAGGTTGAAATACCTAACAGAAGAAAAACATCTTATACAACAAGGCCTTTTCAGGATTAAAACTACTCTCACCAGGCTAATGAATGTAGTCTGGGCTATCAGAAATGCAATGAGAAAAAAACAGGACTTCATTTTCCTAAAATGAAAAGATTCCCCTAGCATCTCAGAACTGGCCAATCAATCTGCTCCCCAGGATGCAGCTATTCTGGATGCTCAGAAAGCCACAGCAGCATGTGCCAGCTCTGCCCTTGACCTCCTCCAGTAAAGATGCTGGGGGTTAACAGTAAGGTTTCCAGTATGCCTCAGGCCTCCCCAACTGGGGGCAGCCTTTCCCTGAGGCCACACTGCAGCAGGACAGCCTGTCCTTTCCATTTTGCCTTGGGTCAGTAAATATCTATGCACAAGTCAAATCAGGAGGGTGATGTACAAAGATTCAAAGGTTTATTTTAGCTAGAAAGAGCTGGACTCTTACAGCTCTTAATAAGCTTACCGAAGATCACCTAAACTTACTGGTTAGTGTGTTTCCCTCCTCTGGCCAAACAGCAGTTAGGTTGAACTATTGTCAAATGTCATGAGATCCGTAACACATATGGACGCCCAACAGTGCCACCTAGTGGCCAAATCTGGAGTGGCAGTCAGTGTTACCTAAATCCAGTAGCAGCTCACATACGCTAAATGAATCCCAGCAAAGTAAGGGTGCCGACCTGAGGGCTTATCTAGACACACTGCCCTGATCCTTCCCTTACCATGCTTGTAATCCCAGAACTCTAGTAAAGCGAGGCAAGAAGGGGAGGACGGGGTGAAGGGCGGGGACAAGGGGAAAAAATGAGAACCAAGACCTGTCATGTAAAGGTACAAAATCCCAATAATGAATGTAACTGTACTGCATAACTAAAATGTACCAATAAACTCAATAAAAAGAAACAAAATAAAGCGAGGCGAGAGGATCAAAAGTCCTGCCTGGGCAATTTATGGAGACCCTGTCTCAAAAGTTAAGAAAGGACTAAAAAAGAAAAGAAAATTAGAGTTGGAGACACAACTCCTTTGTTTCACCCCTTGGTTTGATCTCCAGGACCACACCACACCCCTACCCCCCAAAAAAGAGTAAAGAAAGACAAGCTTCTAATCTTCTAAGACATGGCAGAGCCCAGATCTGCTTCCTCTGGTGAAGCTGCCACAGAGACAGCTACAGAATAAACCATGTTAGCAACCACGTGTCCACAGCCTCAGCAGGGAAAATAAACTTATCACTGAGGTATTTTGCCTGCTGGGAGTGGCCAGCAGACGAAACAGGGCTGCTAGAGCGCTTTCCAACTAGGACCACACAAATAAAGACTAGACTTGAAGCCCTAGATCATATCTGCCTGCTCTATTCAGCTGCAAGATGGGAGCAGGGGAGAGGAGGGGCCGGAACAGGATGAAGCAGGCTCACCAACCCCAAGGCCCATATTCTCGCTTCTCTGAAACCTATAGAAAGTCCTGGCCAAGCAACAAGCAAAATAACAAGAGCATAGGTTCTTCTTGAAGTTCATGTTCAGATCAGTCTCACTGGGTTCCCAAGTCCACCTCTCCTTGCCCAAGAACAGGCTTGGACAAGTTAGTCAATCTCTTCAGCTTTCACACTCGTGAAATGAAGCTCTTTGCTATTTACACCCTGAAGGCTAATCCTAGGGCAAGACCCAGAGATATGATTGATTAGCACTGACAGAACACAATTCCAAGTGAGCCCCACCTGGCTAATACATCAAGAAGTTCCCGCAGGGTTTTTTTGTTTTGTTTTGTATTTTGGGGGGTACCAGGGATTGAACTCGGGTCCTCACGCTTGCCAGGCAGGCGTTGGAACCACTAAGCCCTGGCCCACCAGCACATCCCCCCTCCACTGTGGTGCTGGGGATGGAACCCAGGCTCTTGTTCAAGTTAGGTTAAATGGTCTATAACTAAGCCAAAATCCCAGCCCCGTGAGTTCCTTTTTAACAGCAGTGAATTTGAGTCCTGCCAAGACCTGTGACCGAAAAGCAGCGGACAGCGCTTCACGTGGACTAAACCCTCTCTACAGGTCCCTTAGAATACAATCCGCTCATGGTCTGGGACTGCCCCGCACTGTGGCTTGCTCAGTCTCTCAACCCCAAACTCAACTCCAGTTTAGAGGGAAGTATCCATGTGTGTGTTAAAGTTAATGAGGCTGTGCATTGTGGTACAGGGTTTAATAATCTCAGCTACCAGGGGTCATCCATCCCTGGCAAGTTAATACCTTGTCTCAAAAAAATTAAAAAATGAACTGTTTTTCATTCTTTTAGTTTTTGATGTTAAACCACCTGTCCCAATCATATGAGAAAGGGACTTGTTTTGTATGTGCTCACACTGGTATGGTCAAGAGAAAAAGGGGCAGGCGGGCACGGGATCAAGGTGGTGGCTGAGAATGCTCTCCTCAAATTCTGGCCAGCCAATTTTGCCAGGAACTACGTTTGGCCCATTTCTAGTTTGAGCAAATAACTTTTTCAGAAAGGCAATTTTTAAAAGGCAATTTTAATTTCTTTATGCTCCCATGGACACGAAAGCAGGAAGAATAGCTCTTTGGCCACCACTCACCTGCAACAGATCAAATGACCTCACCATTCCATTCCTCCTTCATGTCTGTAGGTCATCCTGAAAATTAAAAACACCCAACTCACCAGATCACAGCCCTTCATCCTTGTGCAATTAACCCAGAAACAAAATGGAGCTGGGTTATCTGTTCTGTTGTTGGCTGGCTTTAAATGTTCCATTTATACTGATGAAAATGTAAAGGCACACCTAATGTAAGCAGTACTTAAACATGAAAATTTGTTTACATAAATTGGCAAGAAGTGAAATATACTTTATAAACTGAATCTCTGAACCTTAAAAATGGATTACAACAGTACTTTATACAGTTCTTTTGATTAGGCAGGTTTCCAGTAATATTCTGACAGGTCATTACACATAAAAGCTCTTCAGAGAAAACTTGAGAGGCTTCAAGAAGCCATGTGAGGGGGATCGGGAACACAGAGCCTTCAGAGTGAAGCTGTTACACTGGTGCTTCCCGGCTTCGAACTGAGCAAGGAGCCTGACTGGCAAATGGAGTTCAGTAAAGGCTGCAGTGAGATCTTTCTTCATTGCTTTCCTTGGCTCTTCTTCCCGACAGGAAACATTTCATCACAAGGGGATTCAGTTTTCGGCAGCATATGGCAAGGAAAAAACCATTTTAATATAGGCTGGCACCTCACACAGACTAGCTGATTTCTTACTAAATGACTGGCTCTGGCTCAATGCTGGCAAAAGGCAATGACTTTTTTTTTTGGTACCAGGGATCGAACTCGGGTCCTTGCGCTTAAAGGCAGGTGGCCAAACCACTGAGCTAAATCCCCGGCCCAACAGGCAATGGATCTTAACGTATCCACTGTCCAGTTCTACCTCCAGTTACAGGTAGAAAGCACTGTAATCCATTTCAGTCTGTTATATGGTGAGGAACCCAGGCAGAATTGGGCTCAGAAAAATGCCCTCGTGCAGTTACTAATCAATGCCTGCTCCAAGCCAGAAAAAAACAGCTCTTAATGAACTGCAAACATCCATCAAAAGTCTAACATCCATAAATACAATGCAGAAATCTCCTACAAAAGGGCTTTCAGGGTCCAACACTGACAGGCAGAGGAGCCAAGGTATGGCCCCTTCTGGGTGGACATCTACTCTGTTCTCAAGCTTGCACTGATACCCAAAGAACTATGTGGCTTGTTAGGGTGAGTGTAAACAGCAAATTAGATAATCTCAGACTTCTGCTGAAATAGAAAATTCAAAGCCTCAAGATCTTTCCATCTCATTTTCCTCAGTTGTAAATAGCACAACAAAGGAAAACTGAGGTTTGTATTGACCTCCACCACAAGTGACATCTCTACTTTAGGTTAATTTTTTTTTTTTTTTTTGTACCAGGGATTGAACTCAGATCCTTGTGCTTGCAATGCAGGCAGTGGAACCACTGAGCTAAATGTCTGGCCCTGCTTTAGGTTAATCTTGAGATAGAAAACTAAGCCCCACCTCCAGGAAGACTGCAATGAATTTGGGGCTGAGGATGTAGCTCAGTGGTACAGTGCTTGCTCAGCATAAGCAAGGCTGTCGGCTTGATCCTAACAGCCACCGCCACCACACACACACATACACGCACAAATTAGTCAACCTCTCTTTATAGTCAGTTCAAATTACACAATCTTTCTCCAGGACAAAGGCTCATACAAGCTAAATCCACTCCCCAGGACCTGTTGTAGAAGCACCACCACTCATCCCTGTGCTGAGTGGGGAATCCACTCCTCTAAACCACTGTGGGGTTCAGTTCCCCAGACTCGCTGGTCACCTGCTGGCCCTCAGGCTCATATCTACATCCTGGGGTCCTCGTGTCCCCACTCTGGGAGCTGTGGAGGGAAACTCAAGTGACAATTCCTGTGTTTCTCCCTCCTTCCTTCCTGGCCAGCTTCACAGCTAACACACAGAGAAACATGGTTTTTAGATCACATAGGTCTGCAGTCATGGAAATAGGATAGCAGATATACCTTGGCGTCCATTTGCAGTGTTTCACCATATACAAGGTAGGACACACACTAGAACTGAAAAGAAAACCCAGGCTTTCTGATTTACTAGCAGTGTAATCTTGGGCAATGACACTTCAGCAACAGCACGTGTGGTTCTCACCTAGGTGGGGATTGATCAAATACACATCTGCCTGCCTCTCACCCTCACTCAGAGATACAGAGACGCTGCCTCATCAAGGCTGCTACTGTCCGGGATCCAGCACAACCTACAGGTACAGAAGAATGGGCGGGGCATGGGTTTATACTTGACAAGTGAGAGCTCTAAGGGCAAAGGCTTCATTTCAGCAGCAGCGCCTCCTGCCATTCTTGCAGTGTCAGGAATGGAAGCTAGGGCCCTGAACATGTTAGGCAGAAGCTCCACTACTGAGCCATAACTCTAGCCTCAGAAGTGTCCCCTTAGAGGCCTCTTTTCTCAGGGGAAGATGAGAACAGAGACAGTCAGTATACTGTTCTCCTCTTAGGGGATGGGGAACGAATTTGGATACAAAAAGACCAAAATACTATTATTTCTGATTGTGCACTGGACGCTATTCTTTCCTGCAGGCCCCAGAACCTCAATCAGACGAGGACAAGACATCACAACAACTGCTGGAAAACTGCAGACGACTAGGAGTCATTCTTAAAAAGAGATTTAATTATTTGAATTGCATAAAAGGGGATAGTACATTTGAATCTCTGCTACAGCGCAAACTGCTTTTTGTTGGTGGTGCTTTATTTTATTAAAGACCCACTTGTTCTACCCACCTTCGGGTTTATGGCTATCAAATGTGAGGAAAACGAACATCAGCAACAGAAAAGAGTGTTCTGTCCACCAGGATGCCCTGTCCACTGCAGAACAGACCCCCTTAAAAAGGAAAGGAAGAAAAATGGCTAGGAGCTATCCACAACCAGTGTGATCCAGAGAGTTAGAGGAAGACAGGAAAGGAGACTGGAAAAAGCAGAGGTTGGCTGTTCAAGTTTTCCCTCGACCCATATGCTAAACCTGACCCGCCATGAAGATGAATTTTCCTTTGATTTCCTTCCAACCTCTTGACCCTAAACCAACTTTCCCTGTCAAGTGAAATATGGTAAAGATGTCACTTCCACAAGGAGGTCTGATTCACCAACCTTCTGAAAGAATCTATTGAAGAAGAGAATCGTTTTAGGGGCAGGTTATGGTCTTTGAAAACCAAGAGGTACTTTACTAGTAGGGCCTAGAGTCATATGGCCCACCAAAAAGGGCAGGCTACAAAACAAGACTCCCCTTGTGCTGTGTGCAGGCTGACGGTCACTGCTATTGTGGCTTGGGTGGACAGAAGCCAAGGCAAGCAGCCCTTCTGGATTCGGAAGCACACATGGTGGGGGCAGAAGAAGCTATGATCTAATGGCTCTAAATAACCAGCATTTAGTGTTATATTAGGACCAAGGATTTATTCCACAATATAAACTGCAACATTTGATACAAGCTACCAAAAAAGAGGGGAGGAAGGAATGGGCAGGGAGGAAGCCAAAATACAGCTGTGGCAGTTACTTACAGAGCAGCCTCTTTTCTACATCACTAGTTCATCAGTGACACTAGAAACTAGACATTTGCGTTCTGTACATCAACCAATTGCTAAAGCACCAACACACTGTTCAGAAGTTTGTTTTGTTTTAATTCCAGCCACTGAAACCAACATAGAAGTTATTGCTCAGATAAATAAACCTGGTCTACCAGAAAAAAAGAAAAGTAGATAAACAAACCAAAACCCCAAAAGTGAAAAACCTAAAATTCCCCAATATGGTAACAACAGGGTAAACAAGAGAAAGATTCCTCAATTGAGGATTTACTGGAACTTCTGGTGCCCCTTCTGGGCATTGAAACTGAGTTGGACTCTTATGCCGGTAAAATCCCAGACAGAGGTACAATTTTAATGCTGTACATGAAAAGGTGCGAGCTTCAATGCCTTCCAAATTGGTGGAAACCCCTGCAAAAAACAGTCAGCATTTCAAACCTCAATAACCACAAACAGCTCTTAAAGAAAAAAATACAAAAAGTGTCAAAATTTTTTTTGTTGTTTTTTCTTTTTTTCAAAGAGTTCTGGAAAAATGATCCCATAAGGAATAGAAATAGCACCGTGTACAGGCTGGCTTCAATTCCAGTCCTGTAGCTTTGCTGAGATTTGAGAAAATCATCCTGGTTGGAGTCTTGAATTACATTAAGTGGGGGTGTTTGTTTTGTGTCTACTTTCGGCTCGGTGTGTCCTTCCCAGTACAGCGCACACAGATGTAGTCTTCTTTCTCTGCCATCTCTGGAGAAACACCAACACAGACCTGATGAAACCACTGATTGCAGCTGCCATCACACTGGACCCAGTCCACCTGGTTACAAAGAGCAGGGAGATGGGGTGTTCAGAGGAAAACTGTATTCGAACTCGGACAGGCCAGCCTCACGATACCAACAGCCGAGCCACATGAGTGTAGCTGGCTTACCAGCCAAAGCAACCAAGTCAAAGTCATTCTTCATGTCGTGACTGCTTTGGGGTTAAGACAGTGCTGCTTTGCGACAATAAGCAAAGGGCATTACATCAGCATCCCTCCCACCTTCTTAGTGCTGGGACGGTGAAAGCTGGAGAAGCAAGAGAAGGAAAAAGGGAAGAACAAGAGTTTTCTTCAAGAAAAGGGAGGAGACCCAGGAACGATGGTTAAGAGCAGAGATATCAGTGGGGGTAGGACTGAGCAATCCATTCAGATCAGCTCAAAGCAGACAAGCAGAAGAGAAAGACCCAGCGAGATGAGGTCTAGCTTACAGGGTTTCTGAGTTAAGGGAAAGCACGTCCTCTATGGCCCAAACCTCACTGACCTCATCTCCTTCTGGCTGCAGGCAGCTCGCAGCTGGACAGATGGCATCTTCATCCTCAGAGTCCTCCTGCTCGGAAAAGGATGTGTCTGAGGGCAGGGAATGAGTTTCAGCAGAGCGGACTAACTCATAGCTACGCTCCCTCTCTAATTTGAAATTATTTATGTCCTTGGGGTGGCTCAGTTTTATTTTCTTCTTTTTGGGGGTCCGCATTTTCTTCACTCGACCCCACCGCTCATGGGAGAGGCCTTCTCTGTCCAGGCGTCTCTTCAGTTTCCTCTCAAGACTGTTGATTCCATCTCGCTTTCCCCGGCAGCAGTCACTCTGGATAGAAGATGAGCAAATTCAATTTCAGCCTACAGTCTCCCCACTACCAAAAACTAGTGAAGCTAAAGAAAATGTGTGAAGGAGAAACCAGATGACCTTGCAGGGCACACTGAATGGTGTCCTAAACGCTACGACCACCCCTCCTGGTCCTACAGGATACAGTTTCACTTGAACCACGGTTTTTCCTCACTGAGCTACAAAAGAAACACTGGAAAAAGGAAAAGAAAGATATGATTTGCTTTCAAATTAGCCAGCGAGCACCAGCAGATGAAAGATGCCCAAAGATGCTTCTTTTCACCATGTCCATAGTGAGTGACTTACAGAGTCCCTATCTAGGTGTTTCTGTCACCCTTTGGTTTACAGGCTCCTAATTAAGGCCATATATTCCCACCCCTTATAGGAGTAAAATGCATTAACTGAACATAATCAACAATAGAGCTAAAATATTAGGTATTGTAATGAAAAACAAAATTCTAAATGCCAGTTATCGGCCCTCACAAGATTCTTCCACAAACGTGGCTTCGGTGTTCCTACTACATTTCAACCCTCAGGGGCCTTCAATGACCGCTCGGTCAGTTAGTTCCCTAGGAGGAAGCAGCAGCAATAGCTTTAACTCTGCAATAACTTTAACACAAGATGTTATGAGATATCCTTCAAGTACGTGGTATTCGAAATAGGCATTCTCAATCCTCACATCAGCTATTTAGGTCTGGAGGACTAACAGAAAGCATGTTCAATGGCTGGGGATTCAGCTGAGCCCACCTGGCAAGTGCAAGGTCCTCAGAGTTCAATCCCTGGTACCACCAAAAAAAAAAAAAAAAAAA